CTTTTTTTTCTTTCCCACAAAAACCCAAAGAACATGTTAAGAAGTGGATGCTTGAGAAAATAGGAGGGTCTTTGGAAAGTTCTTTGAGACACCCCCATTTAGTCACTAGTGAGATGACAGGGCACTCTCGCTGGGTAGCAGATACCAAGGAAGCACTTGCTAAGGGCTCTCAAGAAAGGGAGGAGAATGTGGGAACAGTAAGTGGAGGCCTCCCTTCTAAGCATGGAGGGAAGGCAGGGAGTGTGGCTCTTGCATCAGGGAAACCAGCTGTCGCTTAAGAAGAGTGAGCTAATTCCTTGCAAAATCCTTTTTCTCTTGGAGTTGGCATATGAGGTCAAGCTTTTGTTTAAAGCTGCCAGCTGAATTCATTCTGCAGGAGGAAGTCCCTCCAGGGAGCCAGTGAAAGTGTGGTTTGTCACGTGAGCTTGGCCGGGGCTGCTGGGTCTGAATTAGCATTCTCCTGACCCTGCAAGGATGGAAGAAGGCTGCCAGTTCCACAGGGGTGTTTGCCAAGGAAAGGAAGATGCCAAGGAAAGGTGGGGCAATGAGTGGGGAAGAAGTATCTTGGGTAAGTCTCAGAAATCAGGATTTTTTCCTCCATTCAAAAGCCTAAAACGTAGTATCAGAAAAGTCTGGGGGAGGCATGAGGGGTGTGCATGGCTCTCCCTGTTGTAGACAAGCACAGCCCCCTCAAAAACATTGATCTTTCTCCTTAGTCTCGCAGAAGCTCAGAGCAGCTTCTGCCACTGCTCAGCACCCGTGAAGCTCTGCCTCTAGGAGGCGATGGTTCTGCCTTTGTCTCATTCCTCAGAGATGAGGTGGGCAGGAGAAGTGCGGGAGAAGACAGGGATGGAAGAGTGAGAGGGGTGAAGTCCTTCCAGCTGCTCTGAGGAGGGGACACACAGAACCGAGGTCCCCAAAGGAAGGACCAAGCACCCTGTCCAGCCAGTCGAGCCTGGGGAGGACATTTCTGGGTATGGCAGTGTTCTTGGTGAGCCTGGGAACACTTCACCTCTAGAAAATGTCTGTTTTCTCCCAAGATTTCAATTTCGTTTGCTTAGTTCTTCCTCAGGCACAGGTGCTGTGGCTTCAGAGTTTCTCCTCTCTATTTTATTTATTTATTTATTTATTTAAATTTATTTATTTATTTTTTATAGAGGCATGCTTTATTTATTTATTTGTTTGTTTTGCTTATACAAGCACTGGGTACAGTCAGAAGCGCGGGAGGGTGAGAGAATTCACCAGAGCCAGAGTGGGGAGCAGAGCAGGCAGAAGGACCGAAGTACACTGCTGAGGGGAGCAGCGGGCGGCAGGAGAGGTCTGCGCGCCATGTGGGACCCTCCTCCGGTGGCCGGGGAGCAGCTGGGGATCGAACCGGCACCACAGAGGCCGCGGGCAGCTTTGCAACCCAGCGCTCAACAGCTGCGCCACAGGGGAGGCCCGAGTTTCTCTTCTCTAAACAACTGCTCTTCCATCTTCTCCCCCTTTTGTTTCCTTTCTTCCCTCCCTGCTTTTCACACTGATCTGCTCCCTTCTTGTCTTAAGAGGCAGTGTGGACAGAGGCTAAGTGAGTTGTCCGTGTAACCAGACTGCATGGGCTTGCAATCTCTGCTTCTCACTCCCTCCTGTGCACTCTTGGGTAGTTATTTCACCTCACAGAGCCCCAGTTTTCTCACTCTTTTTTTTAAATTAAATTTATTTTCTTATATCATTGTTAATTTTTTTTACAGTATTTGATTTCCCAGTCTCCTCATTCTAAAGATGCAATAATATCTGAGTCATAGAGTAACAAATCTTATTATGGGAATTAAACTGAATAAATTCACATAAAGAGCTTAGAAAACAGTGGCTGTGGGAAGTGGTAGGTTCTCTGTGGCATAATCTGTCTGTATATCTATCCTTTTTTTTGGTAAATACCTTGAAATTCATTTTGAATTTTGTCAGGTGTTCCCAGAAAAGTACATTATGGTGAAAGAATCTATAGAAATTATATTTCTAGAAATCATAAATTATATATTTGTGTAGAAAGTATAGAAATTGTACTTCAGAATCTCAGTGATAGAGGGCTTATCTTACAGAAAGATAAGTTTTCAGAATAGAAAGCTGTGTCTTATGTTGTTTATGATTATATCTTTAGTTATTTATGTTGTTTTTGTCTTTCTTATGATTTTCACCGGTTAGTTTTGCATTTTGAAGCTGTGCATATTTTAAAAAAGGACTTCTTTTTCCTTATAGCAACTGTTTAAACTTGAGGGACATTGTCACTTCCAAAGTCTTCTGATTTGCAAATCTGTCAACCAGGCCACCCTCCTGTGGTTTCCCAGCACTTTGTCATCTTGAATATCCTCCTGCTGACTGCACCCCTGCTTGACAGAGTGCCCAGCTCTGTGCAGAGTGCATGAGCTACCATTTCCATGTGAGCAATGCTTGTGTTAATGCAGCACAGGATGACACTCATTTTTGAGCTACATTTCCATTCCTTTAGGGCAGGGCCCCTGAGCTATTTGTTTTTAATATGCCCAGTGCTGTGCTTGGCCCAGAGCAGGGCCCAGTTAAACGCAGACAGAATGCCACATATCGGGTAGACTTGGAGCTTCTGGTTTAATCAAACCCTAGGCAAGTCTTTGATAAGAATTGCTGTATGGCCAGTCCCATGCCTCTGGTACTTTGTGTTGATATTTTCAACCTAAGAGTAGGATTTTTTAAATTGTGACCTGCATATTTTATTTCACAGGTCTTATTGGTCATATGTGTTTTAAATCTTGACTGTCTCATGCCATATATTAGCTACCTCTCCTGCCTCTGTGACCTTTGACTTTATAAAGTTGCTGAGAATAATGACGGGGAGCTGAAGCTGAGCCCTATCAGGCATTATGAGACACCTTTCCCCAGACAGACATCAACAATTTCAAGTACTCTTTGGTTGCTGCAAAACTACCTTAGTCTGCCTTACCCATCTCACGTTCTCTGTGAAAAGCAAACATCAGAGAATCTGTTAGAGACTTGTTAAAACCCAGATGTCCTCCCATGTATTCCAGGTGGTTCTTGTATTTATCTGATATTTCCCACTATGTACAAAATGAAGGAAAGCTGGAGAATCAGTGAATATGATTTCTCTATCTTTTAGAGGATCACTTCATTTTAAATAGAAAGTAGCACAAGATGATGTGAATTGGTGAAAATTGAAAGGAAAAAGATAACAGCTACCATGTCCGAAGAATTCATTTCACCAAGAACCTGTCTCTTTCAAGTGAAAGTATTTGCCTATTATTGCCTTTGTAGTTCCCTGATTTAGATGTTTAATTTTTGCAAGCACTATTGTTACAGCTACAATTGCATGGTGCCTTGTTTTGATGTTGCTGTTGAGTTGAAGTAGGAATTCCCACAGGGATGAATTTAGTGCATGACACATGTGGTACTTAATACCTTTTGATGGTGAGATTAGGAAGCATGCCTAAACAGCAAAAAGACTTAAGGCATTTTTCTAGTTTTAAGGCACATTAGGAAAACATTGTCATCTTTGAGGGTGCATTTTCTATAAACCAAACATACATGTTTATTCTAACTCTGCTTCTGTCTATACCAGGTGGTCAAAATGTCAAGTTCAAAAATCATCTGCAACCTGATATTCTGATACAGAATGATTGTTAAAACATATTAAGTGAAAAGCACAGGATAGTGTATACTACCATTTATGGGGAAAAATGGAAGGGGACAAGGGAAACTGGGAATATTTCTTACTTGTAGAGAGGGCACTGGTGGCTGGGGGGAATGGGCCAGCCTTTTTGAATTGTGAATCATAGAATATTAGTACTTTTGAATTGTGAATCATAGAATATATTGCCTATATTATCTTGCTGACACAAGCAAACAGTACATGTATAAGAGAGAAGGCACTTGGTTGAGGATACAAAAATAGTCATTCTTTTCTGGTCTTTGTTGTTATTGCTTAAAGGGCAGGTAGGCTTTGCAATTAGATGCACATAGATCTGAATTCTCGCTTGAGTGTTAAGGGCATGGGGAAAGTTATATAACTTCATGAAAATTTGGGGAAAACCTTCTTGGCTGGGTTTTCATGTAGATCAAATATAGTAAGGGCCATTTCTTAAAGTTCAGTTTGTGATGATATGATCCTGGGGTTTAGAATGAAGTAGATAAAGCAGATTTCAGCCTGGTATGAACGACTTCCTCTGAAGAGGATTTTTCACCATTCAGGAAAGACAAAAGTTCATCCTACTGCTTGGGTTTCAGATAGGGGTTAGATTTTGTCTCAAAGTTATTATGAATCAAAGGTTAACTTTGAACTGATCTTTAGATCCAGCCCTAAGGATTCAAGACAGTTGAGTGGTTAAGCAAATACTTAGACTTCTTATCATTGGCTCTTTGGAAGAAATCAGTCAATTAGATATAAGTCATTTCCTTTCACCTGTCATAGCAGCAGTCTTGTGAGCATGAGAAGCTCCACTCTGATGGACAGAATTCAGGGGAGGCAACATAAATTTTCCCTGGATACACAAAAGTGTTGCTACTCTAGGTCAATACCTAAGGAATTCCTGGGGACAAATATTTGGGCAGGCAGAATCATTAACATTGCGTTTCTGTAACTTTAGCCATCTCCAAAACTAAATAGATACATATACTGAACATTTCCCCCAGGGGCTAGAGGTAGGAAAATATGACAATCATATTTTGTGCTGTATTTATAATTTTCTTTTTGCTTAAGTACTGAGTAAGTGGGCTTTGTAATATGACTCCTTCAGATGCAAGCACCTGAAAGAGAATTCCAGTTATTTAGTATACAGAGGTGCTGCAAAGCAGAGCTTCCTGAAACAGTAGCTGATGGGTTCCTCTTAATTCCAACTTACTCATCTTCTTCTTTTCTTTTAGATGTGTTTTGAAGATTAGTGAAGAGAGGAACCACATATTTAAACAGCATAAATTTGGGAATCAGAGGTTTAGGCAAATGGGTAAAAGTAAAACTGGATTTTATTTTTCTACAGGAGTGGCAAAAACTCAACTATGACATCTACACCCTGAGGCAGATTCGAAGGGAAGTGAGAAATAGATGGAAACGTATTTTGGAAGATTTAGGTGAGTCTGAAAGTGGTCATGAAATAATAAAAGCAGCTACTTGTGATTGTTCCTTTACACTGTCTTCACTGTGCTTTGTCTAACAGGAGTGCCAGACATGGACTAATTAGTACCACTATGTACTAGTTATTTCCTCAATCCTGTCCTTGCACCATCAAGCACAACAACCTGATCTTTCTGTTATCACCAGTCCTTGTCTTGAGGACTCATTTTGCCATGTGTTACTCAGCTGTCATCATGACTGAGTAGCATGGGGCTGTGGAATAATATGGTCATCACACCTGAATTTTTTGGCATTATTCATTGATTGAATTAGACTAGAGTGATTGACCAATAAATAATAGTAATACGTGAGACAGGCAGGGAAAAATGTTGCCTGTAAATGAGACAGGAAGATCCAAGGTAGACTTTTAGAAGGACTAAAAGGAAAAAAAAAATTCAAAATTGGAAAAATACATTAAAATAGATATTGGATATTGGTATTTCCTACTTCTGCCATGGTTGTAATATAATAAACATGGCCCTCACAATCTAAGATAAGCTTGTTTTAATGTTTAAAAATGAGTTGTTCAGTTTTGAATTTGATTTCCCTGCTTTGAAAGACAGCATGACACCTTAGTGTTGCATCTTTCCAAATATCGGGTTCCAAGTTGCTAGCCTCGATTACAGTGGATGAAGTGGGGCCTCTGCCTCATGACTCACCTAATATTGTGATTTTATCATGTCCTTTTCAGAATGTAAGTTATTCCAGGCAGGTTTAAATCTATGAATCTTTTATACCATTGGGTATGTGATTTTAACCAGCCAAGGATATTTTCCTGGGAAAGGAATCTGGGGTTGGAGCAGGAGGTGCCTGGAGGTAACCACTTTTTAAATTTTTTTTTTAAATTTTCTACTTTGCAGGTTTTTTGGGGAGGTTCGGAACTCTGGGGACCAGGGAAGAGGTGAAGAGTAGGGAGTGGGAGAAGTGTTTCAGTTCAAGAAAAGGGTAGGGAGCTGCCAGTGGGTAAGCATCTGCAGCTTAACTCTGAAAATGGAGTAAGAAGGAACATCAAAATAATTTTAATTAAAGACTCTGCAGAGCACACTATTTGGGGCATTGGTACATGGAGAGGTGCTCTTTCCTGCGTTTGTGCAGAAGCCACATCTGGGCCCCTATGTGGCCTCCTCTGGGGTCACACTGCAGACCATTTCCTTGTGACTGCTTTATATGAGGGGTACATTTTTTTAACTTAGGTTTTCAAAAGGAAGCGGACTCTTTGCTGTCAGTGACGAAACTCAGCACCATCAGTGATTCTCAGAACACCAAGAAAGCACGAGAGATACTGTTAAAACTGGCTGAGGAGACCAGTATTTTCCCAACAAGTTGGGAGCTCTCAGAGAGATACCTGTTTGTGGTGGTAAGTGGATGCATTTTTCATCTGTCCTGATTTTGGTTAAGCTTTTGGCTTTTCTATTGTTCCATATACTCATCATTCCAGCTCCACCACCATGTCCACACTAGGAGGTGGCCGATGATGCTGGCATCTTATACATTGGTTTCCGGTGGCCAACAGCCTCAAAAATCACATGACTTTAAAATTTAGATATCTGAATTGCATTCAGAGCTATTGAGACTGGCTCATGGCTCAAGAACCTGTATTTTTTTCAGCCAATATTTCTGTGTAGTGAGCATTTTGACCATTTGTAGGTCAAAGAGATGTGAGAAATTCTGTTTATATAACCTAGGGTGGAAACACAATTTATAAGCACTCTCAACTTGTAGAATGTTTCTTAGGTAATGTAAATAAAGGATTAAGGATCTTCTCTTAATTTGTTGGGAAGATTTAATTAATGTTTTACTCTTTATGTTTAGGGTGGATTTTACTGTTGTTAGTTTGACTTTTTTCCATCAACAAAGCTGGTTCTCATCTTGACAACATTTTTATTTTTAATTTTTGGGCAGGACCGCCTCATTGCTCTTGATGCTGCAGAAGAATTCTTTAAAATTGCCAGTCGAACTTACCCTAAAAAGCCTGGGGTCCCGTGCCTGGCAGATGGCCAGAGAGAACTACGCTACCTTCCACTTCCGAGTCCCTAAGGAAAAGCTCTGAGGCAGAACTGGAATCGGCCTTTGGGATTCAAGAGTCACAAAGGCTGGATGAATGCATGTAGAAGAGAGTGAGCAAATCGAGGACTTGCTAAGTTTCCAAATCCTATAGACATCTAAGGGTTTGGATAGCTGGTCTTCTTGAGGACCTTACTCAGAGAAATGTTCAGTTTGCAATGAAAAACACTGGTGAACTTGTGTCAGGAAGGTGGTCAGTGGGATATTTCTTTATGAGTGATTAGATTTCAAGAACCCATTGCCCCGTTTGGGGTGGTTGTTCAGTAAGCTTTAATTGCTAGCCCTATTGGAATAAGATATTTTCTTAATAAAACAATAACATTACTAGAGCTATGTCACTAGGCCCAAATATGGATTACTAGTTTTTAAATAATTGTTATATAGAAGCTAACACCAAAATAATGCTGGGCATTATGTGCCCTTTCTTTGATTTGAAAGAAACTTCACAGTCTTGGAGGCTGTCAGAGGCATCATTTTGTGTATCAGTAATAATTTTTTCAGAAGTACAGATGTACCAGGTAATAGAAATGTCTAAGAAGGCTGCTCAGAAGTAGAATGACCCGGAGCAGAACTGCCTATAGCTTTGTGGACAAAAGTTCTGTCTTGGGTTGTGGTACAAGCATCTTAAAATTCCAGACATTATTGATATCTTGTTACCTGATTTTTGCACAGTATCCATTTCTACTCTACAAACCTTTGCTGTTTTATCCAGGATAGCATGCAGAAGCTGAAACATTTGACCTCCATTTCCTTTTCTTCTCTTGAAACTGTTTCCAGCTCACTGACTGCCTCTTGCCCTGACCCAGGACCCCACAGGCATACTCGCAGCTCTGCAGTTGAACTGCAGAAGGTCATTGCCAACCTGTTTCCATTCTGAAGGTGATTTCCACCCCGGAGCAATGCTGCCAGTACAACTTGTTTCTATCCGCAGATTAAAAAGTCCAGCTTCAAAAGTGACTTGTCCTTTAAGCGAGGAGCTTGACATGAAATCATGGTTTATTTTATTGAAAAAAAACTAAGAATTTGTAGGATTTATTAGTGGATTGCTGAGAACAATGGCAATATTTTTATTTTTATAGATTTTGCTCTTCTATATCAAAAAGTAACTTGTATTTAGTTTCTGGGGGACTTGAAAATTTCCATATCTTGAATAGCTCTTTTTGTAGTGCATACAATGATTAAAATATTTGTTAGAGGAGGTAGGTATCCTCCATTTATATGCATTACAGACCAATTTAACTGACCTGTTTTAGGAAAATCCTTCCTAGTTTAACAAATCAGCTGAAAGTTTTATTTTTTATATTTAATGCTTAAGCCCTCTTTTGTGTTCTTTAAAAATAGCCTGCAGATATTTTCCCTTCCCTTTCTGTAGGCTCTTGCAAAATAAGCACACCAATAGTAAAATAAAAAATAAATCTTTGAAAATTGTATTACTTTCATCTGTGTCCTCCGAATTTGTGTTTTGTTTTTCTGCTTTTTTTAATGTCCAAATAGATGAGGTTGTTGGCATCCATGGAGAATATATTATAACCAGCGTCTTTATTTTTATGTAATGAATGAGTAAAGATAATATTGTCTCTGTGATTATAAAAATATATGAAATTATCCAGGAAATTCTTCTTCTAAAGAATTAAAAGGTTTCTGAATTTATTATTTTTTTTTTGTAGGACCCTCGCCAGCAACCGGGGAACGAACTGGCGCTGCAGAGGCTGCGGGCAGCCTCGCAGCCCAACGCTCAACTGCTGCGCCACCAGGGGAGGCCCCTGAATCTACTTTTTAGTTGAATGTCTGTGATATTTCCAGGAATTTAAGGGAAAGAAATAATCCCTTTAAATTAAAGGGTAAAGAAGCTGAGAAGAGAGAGATGGGCTTAAGGACCTCTCCTTATTCTAATGCCAGCCAAGGGGCAGATCTGGGCCCAAGTCCAGTGGCCACTGCAGTGTGTGAAGGGTGACTTAAGTGACCACTTCAGAAGTCACTACATGCTCAGCAGGACCAGGCTCCACAGATATTCATGAGGCTGGAGGGCTTCCCTGCTTTCTAAATGTCTCCCTGTTGCCTTCTGCAGTACTTCTCATAGGATCTGTGTATGCAGGGCAATTTCATGTTGTAGATGGATAGAAGTTTTTATATTAATATTTATTTTTATGGGTACCAGAGGGAGAAAATTCCCTGTGATTAGATCAAACATGTGAGCTCCTATTTCATGGGTTGTATTGCAGTGAACAATGAAGTGTTTATGTTTTCTTAACAGAGGCACCTAGGAAGGCACAGTGGACACATTGACCAAAATGATAAGGAACTTATTGGTGAGGGGACACCAGCATCACTGAGAAGCTCAGTGGTAGCCCCATAGGCCAGATGCTATTCTAGAAGAGTGCTCGCCCAAAGCAATGGGGATGGAAGTGTAGAAGCTCGGAGGCAGCACTTTACTCTCAGAAGCAAAGTGGGCACATTTATGAGTGTTTAGGTCTGACTGATACCTGCAGAAAGATTAGGAGATAGCTGATAGAACATGGCATCCCTAAGAGCAAAATAGATGGTTAACCAATAGGAGTATTGCTCAAGTTATAGCATCAAAAGATCTCAAGGATGGAGGAACAGGAAATAGATAGGTCACACACATCCTAATTACAAGTTATGATCTCTTTCCAAGTTTCCAGATCTTGGCTGTTTTCCAGACTAAAAGACTACTGACGGAAGGACAGGCTGGATCCCCAAAAAGAATTTGCAAGAAAACTGCAAGTGTATTTGTCAATAATTTCCCTTGTTCTTTAGAAGGACCAATGGTTACCTAGAAAACTGTACTGGGGAAATACTCAGAGGACACAAGGCCTAATTTGACATTTATACTCAGGGATAACAGTGTTATTACAGCATGCGTTTTAGAATGGGCCAGATTCAGGACCTCCCCAGCGGCGCAGCGGTTGAGCGCTGGGTTGCAAAGCTGCCCGCAGCCTCCACAGCGCTGGTTCGATCCCCAGCTGCCGGGCGAGGGTCCCACATGGCACGCAGACCTCTCCTGCCGCCCGCTGTACCCTTTAGCAGTGTACTTTGTCAGTCTGCCTGTTCTGCTCTCCGCACTGGCTCTGGTGAATTCTCTCAACTTTCCGCCTTCGGACTGTGCTTGTATAAATAAATTAATTAATTAAAAAAAAAGAATGAGCCAGATTCAGATAATAAAGAAGTCTTATTATCTGACTTCTACTCAATGACCATCTCCCTACTTCCAGAGTAAATGATTGCACTGAACATATTTGAGACTTGACAGAACCACTACTTGTTCCTTGGTCTGTGGGTTAAAAACTGTTTTAATAGGAAAGCTCAATGGAACACTCTGAAACCACTCCACCTCCCTGGCCAAGATAGTAAACCAAAATCAATATTGCATCCCAGGCAGGTGGCAGGAATCAGTGTTACCCTTAAAGACCTAAAGGCTGCAGGAATGTTGGTCCTGTTGAAAATTCCATTTAATTTACCACTCAGCCTCTATGGAAATTAGATAAATTCTGGAGAATAAGAGTGGATTATTGGAAACAAGTGGTAGCCTTAATTTCAGTTGCTGAGTTAGATATGGGATCTTTGAGAGAATGAGTTAACACAGACTCAGCTACATGGTATGTGGCCATGTACCTGGCTAATCAATATTTTGTTTCTAACCAATCAGAAAGTGTTTGCCTTTACTTGGGATGGATGATCGTATGTATTTGTGGGCTTGCTCCAGAGCCATCTAAACCCTCCCACTTTCTGTTATAGTCCAAAGGAATCTGGACCACATGGGAACTGGGCAGAACATCACATTGGTTACCTGTATCAATGGTATTATATCTGATGAACAGCAAGTGGCAAGTACAACGGAGGCCTTGGCAAAAATATGCACTTTAGAAGTTGGGAGATAAATCCTATGAAGTCTTGGGGACCTGTTTCTACAGGGAATGTTTTTAGGTATCCAGTAGTCTAGGGCATTGTTGGATCAGCCCTTCCAAAGGAAATGATGATTTTTCTCATCTTACACTCCCATCTGTAAGAAGCCAGCAGAATGCCTGGGGGCCTCTCCATGTTCTCACCTGCTGCATCCCTGCACCTGATGGCACCACCAGCTGTGAGAGAGGGCCAGGGCAGGAAGGGGCTCCAAAGAAGGTCCATGCTACAGACAAAGTGCCTTCCACTTGGATCAGAGGGCTCTGCAGACCTTTGGCACTGGAAGTCTCAGTGCTAGGGAAAGCTCAAGAGACCATGTTGTTTGTAAGGAGACCTATACATCATTTAAGAAACTGCTCATTATGAGCTGGGTTTTTGTCAGACTCATTAAACTATAAGGTCAAGTTAAAGAACAATCTCATTTTTTACTATAATTTAAAAATATTTTAATTTTAGCTAGTTTTAGATTTGTAAAGAAGTCACATAAAAGGCACAGATTAGCATAAGCTGCACACCAAGTTTCTGCTGTTAGTAACATCTTACCTTATTGTAGCACATTTCACCTCTTATGAACCAACACGGATACATTACTCTTAACTAAGGTCCATAGTTGATTGAGATATTTTAGTTTTTACCTGATGTCTTTTCCTGCTCCATTATCTCACCAGGATGCCACATCACATTTAGCCGCGCTCTCTTAGGCTCCCTTTGGCTGTGATGGTATCTCAGACTTTTCTTCCTTTAGATGACCTGTGCAGATATGAGCACTATTCAGGAATTAGAAGAGCCCAATGGTCAGTAGTAGAGTGGCCTTCAGACCACAGCAGCTGTGGGGCGGCAGGTTGTCCACCCAGGCTTATTCGTGTAATTTTCTTTGGGAAAAGAAATACATCAGCCTCCCCTCCCCACCGCAGGAGCATCTCCCAGATTTTGTTCCTGAAAATCAAGTGAAGCAGCGCTGTGAGGGTCAGCTGGGGCGTTGTAGAGCACTGCTCAAGTCTGCCCTCTGTGGGGCTGAAACTCTCATTGCCTCAGCAGCTGGTAGTGTTGGCTTTGCAGGGCTCAGCTGAGTCTCTGGGAATTGGCAGCAGCTGATGAGAACTGCCTTCAGCAAGGTTGATCCCTGACTGGGGACATCCTACAATGGCTGACTAATTACCTCGCGCAGGAACAGAAAGGCCTATTCCAGCTCCAAGCTCCCCATTGGATTGAATGCAGCCTACGTTGAAACTACATCGCAATAAAAGTTTCCCCAATTCTGCCTTTGCTCTCTCCGCCATAGGAATTTGCTTATAAACTTCTTGCATGCTAATAAACTTCAGAATATTTTCCCAGGGAACCCAACCATGGCCATATCTGAGTCTACAATACAAAACCAGGCTGTATTTGCAGCTGACACTTTCATAGTGATTCTACGTTAGTTTTATATAACTTGATCAGATTGTTTAACTATTGACATATATATTCATTATGAATAATTGAAAAATGTATTTTTACCTTTGACATTAATTAGGACATTGTTTAAAATTTTTTTATCTTCTGTAGTTATTATCTGTATATTCATTTAACATAAGAGACTAAATGATTTTTAAAGGCTCCCTTTATTTTATTTTATTTTATATATTTTTACATCATTTTTCATTTTTGCACAATGTATGCATTTTCATCTTGGTTATAGTCCCCATACAATTCCCACCCTCTTTATTTTGACTACAATCCCTCCTACCCACCCTCCCCTGTTGTGTGTCTCTGGTTTATAGTTACTTGTTGATTTTGATTTTTACTTTATTATAATTAGTTAAAGGCTCCCTTAGCTAAGACTTTCAATTTTCCTAGGAGTTATCAGTTTAAAGCCAGCAAATTCTGGAAGATAACTGCATTCATGGCAGCAGGAAATAGTTTATCTGATGATTCTATAGTGACCAGAGAGGAATCATGCACAAACCTGGCCTTTTCCTCATTGGATTAATGCATTTATTTATTTTGTCAGGTCACTATTACCAGGTCAGAAAAAATATGCTTATAAGTCCTAATAAGTTGCACTAAAGGAATATAATGATAATTTCCAAACAACTATCAATTACAGAGTGAAAATGGTCAGTCACTTTAAACTTTCTGTTTACAATGGTTT